TGCCGCCTGGCCCCGCCCGGCCGTCCCTGCCACTCCATCACTGTGTGAAATGTGCATTTCGGTTGTTGTGAAGTCATTTATGACATTTGTTTGCTTTCCACCCCAGGGAGATTTTGTCCTGGAAAGTGTAGTTTCAGCATGTCGGTCATTTAACCAGAAAGGTGCTCTTTGGTTTGCCAACATTCTTTGGTTTGCTGATACACATCAGTGTTACGTCAGATGTTTCAGTACATGAGAAGCCTTTTCATCCCTGTAGTGTAAAGTCTCAAGGACAAGTAAAAGAGTTTAACATTTTGATTGACGTCGGTGGAGAGATTGTTGTTGTTTTGCATGCAAAGGTCTGCAGTGCTCCCTTATTATCTGATTTAATTTACACCAACAATAATTAAGCCCTTATTCAAGCTTAGAAGATTTTGTTACCACAAAGGCTCTGCACAAAAAAAAAACTGTTCTCTTTATACTATTACTAGTGCAGTCAATCGATTAAAATATCTCATTGCGATTAATCGCGTTGTTGCCCATTGTTAACTTGCAATTAATCACAAATTGCATATTAAAAAAAAATCTGTTTCAAATAAATAAACTGTGGTGAAAGTAACTAAATACAGTTACTAATTTACTGTATTTAACTAAGGACATGTTAAAAGCATGCTTACTACCATATTGTTTTTGAGGTATCTGTACTTTACTTATTAGTACTTTACTTAGTATTTTTTTCTACTTCATACATTGACTTTGCTACATTTTAGAGACAAATATTGTACTTTTTCTCCACTACATTTATTTTATAGCTTAAGTTACTAGTTACTTTTCAGCACCAGATTAATACAAAATACGACATAATTATAAGACCTCATTGATCTATGGTGGAAAATTCACAAGCTACCCAGCAGTAATTTAATGCATATAAGCCAGTTAAAACTAGCTCCCCTTTACCAGCTACAACATTAAATGTGACTTACACAATAATGCATCAGTAATACAATAATATGATATACATGTAAAATGTGCCATTCTACATAATGAGTACTATTTTTTTAGTACTTTAATTATGTTTTGATGATCATACTTTTGTACTTTTACTTATGTAACATTTTGAATGCCAGACTTTTACTTGTAACAAAGTATTTTTACACAGTTGTATTGCTACTTTTACTTAAGTAAAGGATCTGAGTACTTCTTCCACCACTTATTCTAAATGTACCTTATAGAGACCCTGAGATAATTTTGATTACTGAGAGAAGTCCAGTAGTGTCCGGTGAGTGCAGGCGTATTTGTCTGTCCCAATGCCTCCTCCACTTTAGCTTTCTTGTCTTCATACAAGTTGTGTATCTTGGTTACAGTGGTGGCTCTTGAAGGCAGCTCATACATGCAGTCTCTGGATGCAATGCAAATTATTTCAAGCAGACCCTTGTCCTCCACAATGTTGACTGGCCTGAAGCCACTAATCCAATTTAGCTGTTGCCATTGAAAGTCTGTTGCTTGTAGAGTTGATCAGTTGTTTCTGTTGCAAACTAGCCAGCTTGGTCCACCTTTGGCGAGGTGGAGGAGGGATCTCTGCATCAGCTCTGTGCTTGGCCAACAAGTGGTAATTGAGACTTGATGTACTCCAGTGGTACCTCAATTCACATTGACAGTAAATGTAAAAAAACTGGTCTTGTCTAGAGAACATCTGGCAGGGCTTTGAAGCTCAACTTGACATTCAAAAGACCCTTTTCTTTATCCATTTCTGCTCTTTTCTGCTGCTGCATCACTTCCTGGTTTCCCAAACTATGGGGTGGGCTGAGGGTCATAATCATAGAATGTGCATGCGTTAATCGCCTGTCAAAAACATTAGTGGGGTTAAAACTAATTTGCGCACAGTGGCGCAGTGGTTAGCACAGTTGCCTCACAGCGAGAAGGTTACGGGTTTGGGCCCCACCCGGGACCTTTCTGTGTGGAGTTGGCATGTTCTCCCCATGCTTGCGTGGGTTCTCTCCGGGTACTCCGGCTTCCAGTCCAAAGACATGCAGCTTAGGTTGATTGGTGTCTCTAAATTGCCCATAGGAGTGCGTGTGTGGTTGTGCGTCTATGTGTTAGCCCTGCGATGGATTGGCGACCTGTCCAGGGTGTACCCCGCCTTTGCCCGATTGCCAGCCGGGATTGGCTCCAGCCCCCCCGTGACGCCGTTCAGGGACTAAGCGGTAGAAAATGAGATTGAGTGAGTGTTATCATCACTTTAACTTTGACAACTCTAATTGTAACATAAGTCTGTTTATCATCATTCAAATCTTTAACTGCAGATATTTAATTTTTGACTCCATAACCATAGACTGACCTTTTATTTAGTTTTCTGGGTGTAGCTCATTTCATCATGTTGGTTAGTAGACTAGCCCTTTTTACAAAGAGACTGTGGAAACCTGCTAGCATTTTGACCCTCCTTCAAGGCAGCTTTTTTTATTTATGCCTGTTTACACAAAGCTTAAAAGCTGACAATCTGCCGCTCCTGTGTTCCTTTTACTCAGCTGAGAGAATCTCAGTACTAGAATCCTGATGCTTAACATGACATCAGACGGTCCATGTACTTTGCAGTCAACTTGAAAACCAAACAAACAGGCTGTTGTCAGACTTTGTTTGATATATTTATAAATGGAAGTTGGGAATTATAGTAGCCTATTATAGACTATGTGCATCCAGTTTCAGGTCTGTGTGCCTGTCTGAGGGCAGGGCTACACACACACACACACACACACACACACACACACACACACACACACACATACACACACACAAGGTCACCTCACCTCAGCTCAGAATAGACAGGAACTACGTTTTGACTGCATTCACACAAAATCCTGTCCACGGGGTTGTACAGACGTGTAATTGTGTTTATCCTGGAATTAGAATGTAACCACAGTTAAGCAATCACAAAATAACGTTTTAAAATTCTGATTCACATTGTTCTTGCTGACCCTGCTCTCTCTCCTCATTCAAAAATGCTACCTCTTGGTATGCCATTTTGGAGGATCAACTTCGATTCCAGGACTGTACCTTTTACACAGAATGGCGAGGCAGAAAAGATGCAGAAAATTCCCTCATCGAATGGACAGTGTAGAAGAGGCTTCTGACTCTCCTCCTCCTTTTGTCTGTCTGAGTCATCCCTTTACCTCTTGTCAGGCCAAGTATCTCTGCTGATACTCATAGCAGAGAGCAACACTGACACTGATAAAGGGAGTGACGATAGCAGGTGGCCATTGTGGAATCTTCAGCATTTAAGGAACACTTTGGGTGTGGCACATTGGTGAAACACTCACATTGATGTTGATAAGCAGGAATCAGACAGTTATCCTGAAATGTCTTGAGTTTTTATGAAAAGCTGTTGATGTAAGTCCAAAAACACAACCATTTTTTTCTTCTTTTGTTCAGGAAATGTATCTTTCATTCATGGATAATGTCTAATTGAAATTTCTCCCCTCTTCTCTCCAGTCATTTTTTTTTTTCAGCAAAAATCAAAATGATAATCTCAACTATTCTCAAAATGTGGTTTGACTGTGATGTCTACGTCTTCAAGAAGTTCATTTATATTTATGCGTCTATTTTATAGTGAATATTTATATCTTGATCAGTTTCTATCATTGACAACTGTTGGCTTGAACCTATATGTCAAACTAAACCCTAAAAACTTCCAAGCACCCACTACTGGTGAGCATCAGAGACAAACAATTAAATAAATGAAAAATGAGACCATGAAAGGGACTGTGGATAGTGCAAGCAGCAGACTGAACCTACACTCGATATCACGTGATCTGTGCGTGCAGTTTAATCGTTGACCTTTTCTGACCCCTTCTCTTCACCCCGCAGGGGCCAGTCCAGCAACTTGACCTTGTTGATCGCCCAGATGCAAAAGAATGCCGACACGGTGGAGAAAGATGTCCTCCGGGCAGAAGATCTGCTGGCTGTGGTGAGAACACACAAACACACTCAGAAAGACAAACACAAACTAACGCACTAATGATATATTACTTTTACTGGCAGCCATCTCTTGAAATATCACTGTATCTGCTGTCTACCTCCACCAGGATGCTGAGAATGAAAAGAAGCAGCTGCCCTTCAAGCATCAGAGTGAGATCTCAGAGAAGCTGGGTGAGGCTGAGGACCTGCTGAAGGAACTCTTTCTGGACCTTGACAAAGCGAAGAAGCTCAAACACCCGCAAACCACAGAGATAGAGGGCGAGTAAGTTTAAATGCAGTATTGAAGAATAACAGTATAGCCGCTTTATGCAGGATGAACTAGCATTTTCTAATAATAAGCTGATTTTTAAACATTTTGTTGGATTATTATTTTACCATATAATGGTGTTAATATCTATTTTGTATGCATTTATTTACAGTATTATTCATTTGTTTAATACTGAACAATCTGGATCTCCATGAACAAGTTCTTTGTTTCTTGCTTCTTTGGCGACTCCAGTGTCATCCACCTCCACGATCGCTGGCTGAAAGACTGTACCTTCTACAGAGACCTCTACGAGCAGATTGAAGATGTGTCGCTGATGCCCAGAATAGACTGGGGCCCTGTTTTGAGCAAGAAACAAGTCAGTATAATAACACTTTCTGAACAGTTTATATATTAAGGACTGTTTATAAGTCGCATACTACATTAAGTAAACATCCATGTGCAGAAATACATGAAAAGCAATGTTAGAGAGGTGAAAACAGGGTTGTATGTGAGAATAGTGGACCAAATGTAGCAACTATAGTCGGGTAGGTGAGGGCTTGCAGGCAGTGTAAAGGAATACAGGTTAACAGTAAAATGAGAAATGAACATGAACCAGATCCAGGGGTAAACCAGAGTCCATTCACAGGGAGATAATAGCTCAGGCAGGGAGCAGGTGAGGTTAGTATCCAAAAGGAAATACTAGTCAGTAAGAAACAGGTAGGCAACAGTGAATGCTAGAAAGTCACAAGAGGAATTTTTGTGGACAATCTAGCAAGTGCTGGCTGCTGGTTTAAATACTAACTGGGTGGTCGGGTAGATGAGGAACAGGCGAGTGCGGGCAGAGTGGCAGTAAGAGCAGGAAAACAAAAGAAAGGCAAGATGCTCAGTCTGAAAGGACTGGGGCACAGGAAAGGTGTGGGGCACAGTCAGGACCGGGCACAGGAGAAAATGTTCTAGGTTTATCACATTCAACTAATTGTCCAGAAAATATTACATATTAAACAAATACAACATTTTTAGCAACATCTGCTAAAAAAAATTACAGTTCCCAGCTGTTTTAGGAAATTATTGGGTCTTTAAAAACAACAAACAAACTTTATTTATTCACTTATTTATTTTGAGAGCTGTTTTCTAATGATTAACATCTTCTCTTCAGGAACACATGATTTTCTCATCCATGCGACAAACAGGTGCTCCTAATATCTGTGATAGCCACCACCTATACCCATGTGACCTAACTCTCAATCACCATGACAAAAAAACAAAGACAAGCCTATATAACAATCAGTCATTCATGGCTCCTGCAAACCTATTGCAACACTGCTCTACATGCAGTACATACCTATTCCTTTGTGTCTGTAATAGTTACGGTTTTTCACCGCCCTACAATGAACACTTTATAGAGCAAAGAGTCAGGGAAGAGCACAACTAATTACTGAGTTACTCATTCTCTGAGACCCGCCCTTTGGTGATCATTTGTGTCCGCATGCCATTAATTGTATCCTTTCGGCATGTGTGTTTACAGAAACAAGTGAGCTCAGAGCAGTACGGCCCCACCATGGCAGACCTGGAGAAGCAGATTGCTGCTCACAACATCCTGCACAAAGAAATCGAGTCCTACAACTCACAGCTGTCCGTCAGCTCCGCTGGCAGCAAGGTGAGCACGTGTGTTTCCACAAAAATGTATTCACATCACATTCTGGCTGGTCTCAGTTTGCACTCATCACAGCAGCTGATCTTAATGTTGTCTTTCTGGCAGTCTGTAAGACTTGTTGCTACCTTATCTTTCAGGAGAAATATACTGAGCTAAAGAAACAGTACAACAATCTGCTGGTGAGTTGAGTTGTTCACATGTAATAACATTTTCATGGTTTATTTTTTGCTTTTATAGTGAAAATTCATAACTAGAAAATGCATTAACATTTATTGGAGGATATTTGAGAAAAGCCTTATCACTTTGTTTTAAATGTTGCAATAGTATACAATAGTATGGCGCTATTTACTTTAGACTTAAAGTGAAAGCCTCATACAAGTGTCACTTTCTTCTGTTTGCATGTCAGAAACAATTCTTTATACTACCTCATCTTGAAACTGAGTTTTTCTCCTTCTTCTTGCTAACCAATATTCCATAGGTTTGGTGTCCCTTTTAAACAAGAAATGTGAAAAATTAAAGGAATACAGATTCTATCAAAATACAATTTAACAATGAATTTAAACGTTTGCACTTTCAGAGGTTTTACTCAGATTTGAGAGTTTTTTGTTGCCTTTTTTCCCCCCAGGACAACTCCAAGTGGCGTCGCCATTACCTGACCAGCTTGTATGAATACATGCAGGGCTGCAATAAGGAAATGACCTTTCTGAAGGAAGAAGAGCAAAAGATCAAGAAGCAGGACTGGAGTGATCGCATGGTGGACCCACCTGATGTCCGCAGGCAGTATGAGGTCAGAACTAATGGGCTGTGTACACTGACCAGTAAATTATAGCATTATATGTTAACTGTACCAGGGTTAAAACATGCTGTATAAATAATCCTGCTTTAATGTGACCTCAACCAGAACTTCAAGAACAACAGTCTGCTGTCCCACGAGAGTGAGGTTAACAAAATCCAGGATGAAGGCGACAGACTTATTGAACTGAAGCACCCTGCCAGTGCCACAATAGAGGTACCCATGAGCCAAATTTGTAATTTTAACTTTGGCACTAACCATAAACCTTTCGATTTATCATTTAAAACCATAATTTGAATGATGTTTAAAATCAAGATAAATAAACTCATTACACTTTTTTTCTAGGCTCAGAAAGATGATGTCCGAAATGAGTGGCAGAAATTCCTCAATCTCTGCATTTGTCAAGAGACACACTTGGACAATGTGGAGGAATACAAAAAGGTAAATATGGGGCAGCATACATCACAATTAGTCATTTTCACAATTTGCATTTGGATTAAGAATGTGTGAGAAGACACATTTTGCCCGGATCCCATTTCTAGTAATGGTTGAAACCTTCCCCTTTGAAATGGGACAACCCTTCATGACCTCTATGCGTCATCGATAGTTAATGATGACAGGTAGGTAAACAGACATGACAAGTTGTTGGAAATTTTGAATCACACAGTGTCATCTTCAGATGTGGTGATTTCACTGGTCTTCAAGCATCGGTTTGCAATTTTCAACAGCAAATGGGTAAAATACAAAAAGAGGAATATGTTTTTGATACCAGGGAATGTTGGTGGACTTGTCTAAGCTGTGTAGCATCAACTGCTGGTACCTTTTGTTGTAGTTAGCCTCATAATGCTCAGTTTTGAGTCTGCTTCTGAAAACGCTTTGTTTGAAGGGCTGTGTAGGCCTAACACTTCGCCCTACCCCTCCATCCTAAAGAGAATCGGGAGACATCTACCACTACACGTGAACACGCAAAACGGAGGGGAAGGGCTATGTGTTAGGGCCGGGGGGGGTGAATTGTGAGTGGGCCTTGGTCTTTTAGTCATGACCTGTAGTGACATATTCAGGTTTTATACAAAAATTAAGAAACATATTTTTTGTGCTTATTCCCAGTACCAAATGGACGCTGAGCATCTGTCAGAGATGTTGACCAAACTCAACAACAGCCTGGACCCCAAGTCCATCAGCAAGAAGAGCAACCCAGAGGTTTTGCTGCAACTTGAGGTACAGGGGAACATTTCATTATTACAGATACATAATGAAAAGAAGTACTGCAGCCTGTATCGTCCTTTAAAATGACTTAGATTAAGGATTGAGGAAGAGGAATAGTTGGCAGTGAGAGGGAAGAGTGGCAATAGAAACAATAAAATAATCAGAGGCAGGAGAAGAAGGAGAGAGAGGGTAAAGAGAGGTTAAAGAAACAATGATACAGAATATGACTGTAGCACCCAACTGTGTTATGGTAAATGCTTATTAAAGTATGTTATAAGATGCTAAATTAGAAGAACTAATGGGGGAAAGAACTATCATAAATTATCATTAGAAATTTTATTCAGTGTTGATTCTCAAATAATATATAAGATGAGGATTTGTTGCTGTGAGATAACTATTCCTAAATATATTTTCTTCTGTGCCTGTTTCCCTCCAGGGGGAGGAGATGGCTGTGCAGAACAGTGAACAGCTGCTGGCCGACCTGAGGAGACGCAGCACCACCATTGCTCCTCTCAAGCTACGACGCAACAACCCCAACAGACCCATCACTGTGGAGTCTTTGTGTGACTGGGAGACAAACAACGTAAAGCTTTAATTTTTGTCTGACATTCACAGAGTAATGAAAAGGCAGAGTCAAATATGTTTCATGTTTCTTGTATAAACCTTTGCATAAGTGTTTTATTTATTGTTATCTAGGCCTCTCTGTCAAGAGGGGAGAAGTTCACCCTGAGATCAAACTCAGACCCTGAGAACTGGCAGGTTACCTCCAATGATGGGGCAACAGCAACCTTCCCAGGTGTTTGTTTTCAGATCCCACCACCTGACCCAGAGGCTATTGACCAAGTGGATCTGTAAGTAATACAAGGCTGCATTATTATACAGCTAGCCACAACTATTTCTACATCTCTCACTATCTCTCTGCTTTTGGCTCATCAGACTGGGCGGTGAACTGGCAGACATCAAGAAAAAAAGAGCTTCTCTGGCAGCATCTGTGAAGAATAATAAATCAGAAGTTGCCAGGCCCCAGCAATCAGGTCACTGGCTATGAAATAAATTCTTCAGTATCCTGATTATATAGCATCACTGTCATCATCATCATCATCAACCTTTATCTATTCAGGGAAGAAACCAGTTCAGTAACAAATCATTTAGAAAAGCCTGTTCTGTAACGTGTTTAAAGCTTCCTCTAAGCAAGATTTCTGATCTGTTGTGATTTGACAGCAGCTGAAAGATCCTAGTAATAGAATCAGAGTTTGCAGAAGGGAGCTGATAAATTCCTATAACCAGCAGCCTACCACAATTGTCATTTTTTCCTAGAGAGACATTTATGGCTAGAAATTCAAAAGATCTTGCTCTAGACACAGAATTGTTTTTATTATTATTAAGATGATAACTGTTTAGAATTTTTGTATGAATGCTACAGTTATGTAAATCAAGAAATTAACTTCCCTGTTTCTTCATTCAGCTCCAGTGTCTTCTGCCGCACTTGACCCTAAAGCAGCAGCCATGGCTCAGCAACTGGACCAGCTGGACAAGGACCTGGCCAGCGCTGAGGAGAAAACATTGAACCGCCTGCGAACCCCATTGAACCGCAGTGACCCAGCTGGAGATCTAGCCAACAGGCTGAGGGAACAGGAGGTGAGACAAGCACATTCAAATGAATACTCTTATGGCAAACAATGTATTTGAGCTGAGATTCTTCTTATTTCAATGTTTTCTGCAGCCATTCTTTCTCTCAGTTCTTTATATATATGGGTTAAATGTGTTTGTGCTTGTATGCATTCATAATGTACACGTGGATCTTGGTCTGTTTGCATGAATAGAGGTGCGTTGTTAATCGAAACCACTTCTGAAACAACATTTAGACTATCAGGAGTCTCTTGGTAGTGATTACACTTGGCTGAAGGAGGAACCCCAGATAACCTGATGTCATATAGCTGATGAAACCAAGAATTCACGTATCTGAAGTTTCCATATTTGATCTTTACAGCAAGCTGCCAAGGCCCTAAAGGCTTTGGAGCAGCAGAGGCAGGCAGCACAGGCCAATATGCAGCCCTTGCTATCTAAAGATCCCAGTGGTGCCTCCTCTGCATTGCCACTCCAACTGAGAGCTGCCAACAACAAGTATGACAGCATAGCTGCACTTGCTGACCTCTATACCGCAAAGTAAGTAGATGTTTTGTTTGGGAAGTTGCATATATCTAGTGGCATGGCGGAGGGGTTTGTTCCCAATGAAAAAAATATAAGTACCACTGTTTTAAGATGGGAAATTAAGCTTTTTCTTAATAAATGATTTTTTTTAATGGACAAAAACATTAATACTTATCA